AAGAGCTAGGACTACTTCCTATTACTATGGCTCTGATATCGTGACTGACGACATCGTCAAGTGGAATCCATTGTCTACAAACAGTATCTTGGGGCGTCATCGGTGTACCTGCAACCTGCTGGGCCCTGGCCAATGCCAGATTGCACCATGGACCATGACTCATGAGCCTTTGCCACCTTTCGGGAGGTCAATAGTACCAAAACTCTCGCAGCAAAAGGTCGAGCGCGATTGGTTTCCAGAGTTGCTATATGTAGTTCGCAATGCGAACGCAAGTTGATGCATCCACGATTCAGCCCCAAGACCTAAGGCCGCTCGCCACCACATATATCATCGACTCAATTCAATTGCCCAGTTGGATGATGGGAGTTTCTTTATTAACCTTGCAGTCCTGGATGTAGGTTGTCTTAGGAATGACACGACAATGCCATTGAGATAATGGGGCCCTTCGAGCACGGGCAACAGAGAGGCGGAATGGAGCAACGCTGGCATTTCCTGCTGTCGAGTCTGACACGGCCAAGTCTCTGAGCCCAGGTGCGAATGTGGATATGCATATAATATCATTGGGTCAATTAGCTGTTCAGCGCCGAGAGAGCCCATGATGGATCGAGAAAGACAAGACATTGTTTGAGGGGGGGGCTACTGACAACATGTCCCTGCCTCACTTCGAGATCGTGTTGGATGTATGGTCAACATGGAGAGGGCATCCCGGATCATACAATGTACGTTTTCCTTTGTCTTTCAAGGCAGTTCATGACTTTCAACACGACGCAAGTTTGATTGAGGGCATCGACGTTTAGCCTAAACAGAATTAATTTTGAATTATCAGTCAGATATACAGATTGCTCCCTTCAGCCAAGTTCACATTCCGGAGGCTCGAGGCCGCGTCAGGGCCCAGAGGCGAAGGATAATAATGCCATCGGAAGAGCAGTCCATATTAATTATCAAGGTGCTAGTGTTAAGATATGAGTCATATGACTCTTGACATCACTCTCGTACGTACTCATCCATTTCTTTTACATAAGGCGTGCTCAATACGCAATCACCTCTCATTCCACGCCTCATACACGTTTACCTTGGATTCCCCGTTTCAATTAGCTTATTAATTCCTCTCCCTGTCGAATAATCTCCCTCAGTCTTTTGATCTAAGACTGAGGTGAGCTCTCTTATTTTGCGGTTCTACGTATAGTGACTTTCCTGACTATTACCCTACCTAGTCCTTCCCCGCTCCTAGGTATGATCTATAACTAATATGAGTCTTTTAATCTAATACTGAGTCCCTGGCCCGTTCCTAGTCCAGGCCTCTTCAAATATTCGTAAGGACTACTTTAGTTCCGTGATGCACTTTGCCGTGGCGAGTGTCCGACTCAGACTGGCAAGCGGCATTAATTGGTCTAGAGCCCAGGCCTCGGGGGTATGCCGCGCTCACCAACTTCTACCCCTTCCATTCGTGCTTCTGATTGTAAGATTGCCATGGTTCGAACATTCTGATGTGATGGTCAGCATTAGTTATGAACGTTCAAGTTGTCGAGCGCGCTATGCGCGAGACACACTGCAAAACTTGGGGGATAATATTTCGAAGCATCGTTAGAGCTCGAGTCAAGATAATGAGATATGATGTTGTCTAGGTGCGTAAGATTCTGAAACAGAAAACATGGATGACTAAGTATACAGTGTACAGTAGTGAAAGCAAGATCATGGATACAGTAGCGCTGTATGAAACCAAAGAGAAATTTCTGAGCCTCGGTGATGTTATATCACCGAATGTCTTACGGACGAAAAAGTTACATTGCTAGCTGTGGTTCGGCTGTATACCCTCCAAAGCCTGTGTGGATGCCTGGTATTCCGTGATTGTAAACTTCTGCGACGCCGTTCAAGTGTGGTCCTTCTGGCCAGGAGAATCTTTGAAATCGATCAGTCACGCCGCAGAGAAGAACAGACACAGAACATACCCTGGCATCATCATGTTACTCCACCAAGCATCATTGAGTGCATGCATAGCTGCCAATGTCCCGCTCTCTGAAAGCACATCTGCCATCCCAACATCCATATCACTATCTACAGCTCCATGGTTCAACTGGGTGCGGGAGTGGGCAGCCTCAGAATATATCGCAGGAGTCGCAGAAGGAGGTGTGGATGCCTGGGATGAAGAGCTCGAAGTGCCTTGGTTGAGAGTCATCTGCATGGAATCATGGTCGCGTCCTTGCTGCGACATGCCTGGCGCTGGTCCACCAGAGTATCTTGCTCCTGAAGACGACAACGAAGATTGCGAGGCGAAGTTACGAGGTTCAGGTTGATGAGAAACTTGACTTTGAGGTGGAACGTGTTGAAGACGCCCACCGACAGCGCCTCCACCTTTCCTATGTCTCGTAAGAAGGCTGGCGAGGAATCGAGCATATAGGCGTGGTGTGTGACGTTCATCAATGGCAACATCTTGAAGCGTCGTGATCAGGCGGCCAATGAGTTCGAAGATCTCATCCTCCATCTGACGGGTCAACAGTTGAGCAAACTCAGGACGCAGAAGCTAAGTCATAAGGTAAGAACGGTGCCACATTGGATATATAAGTTTTCACCTTGAGCATGAATGCAGAGGCGAAAGACGCAAAAACAAAGTGGCCTTGGAGTATCATAAGACCAAGAGCGTCACCGATTAGAACAATATCTTACCATCAGGGGCAGCACGCATAAGACCGCTAGGTGCCAGCACCTCGATCATTTGCTTAATGACAACCTTTGCGGAGTCGAAACACTTCATGAAGTTCGGTAAGATGACTTGAGATATGGGCCATAATAGTACTGACCTTATCAAGAAAGACGTTGTCACTCGCCTCCATGCCGCGTTGGAAGGCGTGTTGAAATCCGAAAGAGTACATAACAAGACGTGAGTAGCTGACCAAGCTAGAAGCACATCAGCTTGTCTCGCAGCAGATTGAAACACACAGAACTCACAAGGGTAGCAGAGTACAGCGGAATACACTTCCAGGATCTAAGGCACAGGGATGAGCACGTGTTTGACTATATTCTGGAATGAAATCGTACCCCCAGGGTCAGATTCCTCATTAAAGCGTCTAGTCCATTCCTCAAAATAGTTTGTAAGATGATGATCGTGTTCTAACGTAACCTGAAGGAAGTTGATACCCTGCAAGGCCGGTTTAGTCACGAAGTAAACGTCGATGAAGGGCGCAAACCTTGTTTAAACCGGTTGGCGAGTTGGGGTCTGAGAAAATGTCGTCATGGAACCGGCCCACGATGCGAAGAAGCGTTGAATAAGCGCAGAGGTGGATATCAAACTTCAGTACGACTGATCAGCACCTCGAAACGAGACCATATATTGGAACACACCTTATCTCTGAAACGAGATTGTTTGTACCAGTCCGCGGAATGACGAGTGATATAATCCTCCTTGATCGTCGAAGGTTTGCCAAACTGCGTAGCAGTCGATCTATCGATATTAAAACATATCATCCACACGCGAGCGCGATTCAACATCTCTCGTTCCTGCCGCTCCGTCTGGGGCTGTATCGTAGAGACCTGATGTAAATTCAAGTCTGTAGCAATCCTAGTGACAACGATAAGCTCTAGAAACGAAAGAAAAGGTGTAATTGCATACCGCGCGGCAAGTCCTGTGTATAACCAGCTTCTGTCTTCCTCCCACTTGCGAGCTGGGACAGCATAAATGCTCATGAGAATGTAAGCTTGGCATAGCTCGACAGATTTCCAGCCGTCGATGAGCGCGTTAGCTGCGGAATGCTTTGCAAAGTGCATAGCAACAGGATAGATCTCGGATTTTTCCTTGTAATAACGGGAAGAAATAGCGCAGACTGTGCACCTCAAGTCAGGCATTTATCAAAGCATGTGAAAAGAATGATTACGTACTAACGGTGAACAAGAAGGGGCACCTTTGGAAGATGGATTGAGATGTATGTAACGTGGGATCGAGGAGGCCAATGAATGGCTGTAAGTTAGATAAGTCACAGCATCCTCCTAGCTTTGGAAGCATACACTTACATTGATTTGATTCCAGAATCTGTGTTGACGGACATGCGTCAGAAGAAGGAATGTAAAGAACGAACTGTGTGAACTTACATATCGAAAAGCTTTTCGACGTCAGTGTTATTCACGAGTCCGTGAAGAATTATTTCCGGTGTGTGCTGTTCCACCAAGTTTTTGCGGATATTCAGATTCGAGGCTGGACCTACTAAGTTATTAGAAACAGCATGTATTGTCGTTCCAAGATGGCATCTTACCAGGCAAGAAGTACTCCTTATTGGCCACACCCTACAAGTAATTACCGTCATAAACACGGGACCAGCATCATGAAAACAGTAATTACTTACCACATTGTCGTCGTCGTCTTCAGGTTTCGTGTTAGTTCCACCTGCACCAGTGTTACCACCTTGGCGACCTCTACCTTTACCCTTATCTTTATCCTTGTCTAAAGACAAGTTTGCGAGCAGCCCAATAGGCACAGCAGCATCAGGGAGCGAGTTCCTGACTTTTTCGACGTCCTCCTCTTCGACGGAACCCTCTTGAGCGTCGGGATCGTCATCCTCAGAATCATCCACAGTAACTGCAGAGGGGTTGCGCAAGTTGCGAAGGAAGTCGGGGTCGGTAGGCGAGGCCATTCCCGGTTGCTTGAGACTAGCCTGCAGACGATCAAGCCAGTCAACAACATTCATGTTGTCACTGTCAGATGGTGATGTAGCTGCTTTATAGGATGCAACCGAAAGTGGTGTCGCAAGGTAAGGGTTGTGCAACTGCTCGACAAAGGTCGTCAGTGAATGAACGTATTGAAACACCATGACGAACGACCCACCTGCTTCAACAGAGACTCTATGATCTGATCCTTGTGACGGATCTGAGCCAAGAGATACTCTCGTTTGCTAACGCGGGGACAATTGTATGAGTATTGTGACATTATGGATGAAACAGTATCACAAGATGAAGACGACGACGATGAATCAATAGATGAAGATCGCGAACGGGGCATACGAAGAACAGTCAACAGAGAGAAAACAGTGGGAATGACTGATGACCAAAAAGCAACCAGGTTTAAATAGGAAACAGGAGAATGCGATGAAACACAACCCGGATGCGAGACTGGCACGATTTGTGCTCAGTTCGCAGCATGAACGACGAATAGAGGATAGCGGAAACGGAAGTGTGAAGAAAATGGCGATATGAAATGTCCGAAAATGAAGAAGATTTCTCCAAGTCGGCCCAGATCTCCATGCTGGAGTTCAGGGCTGTCATATCCCATTTGACTTAGCAGGAAGGCCAGCCAATGGCAAGACAAGCGTAAAAAAATATAGTCGGTACAAAGGCATGCACCGGTTCCAAATAAAGAACGAGAAGTTACGACATAAATAAAGGATGATCGTCGCTTTGGAATCAGATGAACCAGTTGGGAACTTACTTTGGCGCTGTCCTAGGTTTGCGACCTTCTACGATGCAAGGGTGTCCTCCGGTTGCACAACGTTTACAAGTACTAGCTCCATCTGGAAAGTCGCATTTCATCTGTAAGGTCAACCGGAGACCAGTGCAAACAGATCGAACGAAGATGTGCGGATCATTCAATCGAAGTCAGTGGCAATCACATGACATCCATGCCAGGCCAGGAGTACGGTCATTTCGGGAGGTCAAATTCCGACAATCAAAGTGATCAGGACCCGGCAACGCGGCGCATAAATGTGCGGGGTATGTTCACACATTCGAGTCGTGCCGAGTGGAGGATAGGGACCGAGCAGCGAATATAACGTTTGTAATATCAGAAGATGTAGATGGAAGTCCGCAGGTGTGAAGAATTACGAGCCATCGCCGGAGGTTAACATATTTCAGTTGCAACAGCAACAATGATGCCGTGTGAAGGACCCGTAACAGCCCCAGAAAGGAGAAGCGGTGGTCCAAAAGGGGGTCCGAAAGTGAAGGCACGAGTTTTCGTCGAGGCGGATGAGACACCAATGCATGTTCGGAGCAGAGTAGGCCGGAGGCGTCATGAATTCATGACGAAATGCATCGTGTCGTAGATTGCAAAGATCAATTCATGGTAGATAGGAGAACGTGAATTTGGTAAGCAATCAATCATAACATCATAATATATGGAATGGAAGTGTAAAGAGATTGATAACGTACCTTCAGACGTTTACAATGTGTACACGCTCCAGTTCTGCAATGGCATCCGTGAGAGCGCAAAGTCGGATAGATGAGGTAGAAGATACGTAGCAGTAGTTAGCGAGGAAAGTATCGCCGAACCGAAAAGATGAAACATGTGGGGCAAGGCACAAGCGCCGGACGGGAAGCAAGTCGATTAGGCAAGCAAAACCATCATCATTGTCGATGCGTGTATTTTCACGAGGTGATACGTCCAAAGACACCGTACAGGCAGGCGACGAAGGCGTGTAGAACGTTCGTATAGCGTGTAGAACGTGGATATAGCCGAGTAGCAGAAACGGGGGTTGTCAAACCGGTAGAATGATGAAATTGAGAAGCACAGAATTAGAGCAAGTCAAGGCCAGCGCAAGAAGGTGCGGCGACGTCGAGTCGGCGAGAGAGTTTAGCGTCGGTAACAGATGTAGCCGGACCGGAAAGACAGAAAATACAGCCGGAGTCGGGAGTAGGCACAGCAACGATAGCCGGTTCGGGTTACATGTCAATTGAACAAGGTTGTGTAGAAGTTTTAGCAGTAGGATATCCGCAACGATCGCAAATCAAAGGGCCAAGCCAAACATTGCGCCAAGTGAAATCAGCCGCAGCAGAAGGTTGGAATGGAAAGATGAAAGATTTATCAACACAGAACATAGCCATCCGCACCAAGGGTAGGAACACCGATGAAAAAGGCAACAAAATGAGGAAGAACGAATAAACATGGAAGTGCACAAGTGAAAGCATATCCGACCAGCGCGCACCGCAGACCGGAATGAAAAAATGATAGTGTCACGATCACAAACCAACAAATTTTGAGTAAGCAGAAGGAGCAGTTTTAACGCAGTTGACAGGTGTCAATATGCAGGTAGCGCGACGTCAGCGGAAATTGTGTGACAAAGAAAGACAGCACCGCAACCAGAACCAGCACATAAGGATGGAGCGCAGCGAGAAAGCAAAGTTCCGTCCAGCATACAAGATCATGCGTGCCATCAAGGTCATACACACGTCCAGGTTAGTTCGGTTGTTTTGGCCGCAGTAACACCGTTAAACAGTCACCAGACAGAAACATAGAGTCGAATCCAATGTTAATCGAGTTGGTCGATATCGAGGCCAGCAATTGACATAACCAGAGTATTCGCCAATGAAGCCAGCAGTATCGAGCATGCACGATATCAGGACAGGGCCGTTGCACCAACACAGATGAGTTTAGTGACCACACGAGGTTCAGCAAACCAAACCATTTGCAGAAACACGATTCCGGAAAGCAAGCGAGGAAACAGAAAAAGTGAAAAACGTAAAAAAAACACAGCCCGATCAGCACACTATTCCTGATTCAACAAGCGTACGAGGTCACTCACTTGCGTTGACCCACCACCCCTGTACCTGCGCCTTGTGGAGGCACAGATGGTCCAGCCCATTCTACCACATCATCATCGTCACTGTCATCGTCACTGTCCCCACCCCTACCCTCACCGCCCTGGGATGTTGATGGCCTTGGTCGCTTTGGAGCACGAGCCCTTCGATTTGTTGCAGGACGAGGAGCAGGCGGCTTCGGTACAATTGGAGGCCGTGCAGGACCTGCCTGAGGCGCTGTCGCTGCCGCAGTGATAGGCATAATTGGGCGCTGACGTATCTGCACACGTTGCTGCTGTTGTTGTTGTGGAGCTGCGACCATTGGCGGCGACCCAGGGGTGACAGTCGAGATCGACGAAGTTGCAGCATGCCCCATGCCCTGTGAAGTCATGTGGACGTTACCCGAGCTCACAGACGAGGCTGGATGCCCCGAAGACGAATCGTCGAATGAGGAGGACGTAGGGTGGCTTGCGTACGAGGCCGGAGAGACAGAGTCGTGTGAGCGCGGGAGTCCAAGCATGGGGCCTGTTTGTGTCGGAGGTAGACAAGAAAAGATAAATGTCAGTATGATGCAGGCTAGAAGACACGGAACCCCGCAACAGATGGTAGCAAAAAGATGTGACAATATAGAAGTACAGAGATGATTTCCGGGTACAATGAATCGACTGTGCCGGAGCGCTAATTTTGACACGAGGTGATCGATGCCGTCAGCGCAGCTACATATAAGATGCGTAGATCATTATAACCAGCACTTCATCCTATGTCGTGCGCAAGTTCCAGCAAATGAGAAGGTGAGGCGAGTGCTAGGCAAGCACTCATTGCATCCCGAAGGGTTCACGAAGTCCAACAACGTAACATAGTATAACCCTAAGCATTGACCCCGCTTCAAAATAAAGTTGAGAGAACATTCTTCGTTCTTCGATCAGAAACAACGGTTCTGGTCCCTCAACGACAATTTGTCAAGAGTTTCCAGAGTCGTCTGAGCCCAATAAGCATGGCACCACGTGTTTGGGTGCAAATTGACCCTGCGCCATGATTGATAATCGAGAGAACATCCATTGGAAAATGAAAACAACAGCAAAAGAAAAGAACACAACAAACAAAAACACAACACAACAAACAAAACAAAAGCGAAACAAGACGAAAACCGCACTCACCACTATCACTTGGAGGCGTGTGCGAGTTTCCAGGTGGGGTATGAGGCCCAAACGTTGCAAAAGGCGAGTGGGGAGACGTCGAATGCGCGTGTGCCGAGTGCTGTCAATCAAGCAGTGATCGCAAGTTGGGTGTGATCGAGGAAGTTGATAAGAATGTTTCATGTTAGGTGGTTCCGCGGAAGAGAACAGGGCGGGGTAGCGTGAAATGATTAATCGTCAGCGCGATTCAAGATCAAAGATGAGAATGATGAGGAACGGAGTATAGCGGAAGGAATATGGGCGCAGATAGCACCCCATACTGGCACATCATAAACAGACCAGTGCCACGAAAGAAAAGACGAAAAACGAGGCGCGAAGTATGAGAAAAAGCGCGCAACACAGTGAAAGAAATAATATCCCTGCACGGACGCATAAATACGAAGCGTTAAAGACACCCACATGACTGGCAGTACTCTGCGTGTGCGAGTGCTGTCAATCAGTCAGCGATCCAAACGTCGATAGCAAGTCGGGCATGATCAAGGAGGTAAGAATGTCCCGTGTCAGGTGGTGCCGCGCAATAGAACAATGGGAGGATGACATGGAACGATAAATCGCGCGAATCAAAACAAAAGATGAGAATCAGAGAGGTATAAAGTGGATATGGACGCATATATGCATGTCAACGTATGCTGTTGAACTCAGAAACAGAAGAAGGTAACGAGGCACGAGGTATAGTACCCAAACATTGGCGCATATGCCTATGCCGTCCAACGGTATCTGAAAAAAAAGAACCGGCTTGACCGGGTAAAAAAAAAGGAACCGAACAAGACACGACAACCAGGCACAAAGTATAGGGGGAGCATCCATACACGGTCGCGTATATGAACGCCATTTCGTCTAAACCGACGTGCCCTCCAAAAAAAGAACAAGGCATAGGAGCAGTACCCGCTGACACATGTTTGGGTACGCCACCATCCAAAAATCCAAATTCAAAACAGGCAGAAAGAGACTCACAAGACTAGGCGCACTCTGGCTCCCTTGCGTATTGATTGCATAATACATATCGCCCTGAAGGTAATACGAATCTGACGGCCCTGAATAGTGTTGAGACTGTCGGGGTGGATTTGGAGGAGCGTGAATCTGAGGTTGCGATTGGGTATGCGGCTGAACATGAGGGTGGGCACGAGATTGCGATGGGACGTGAGTATGCGATTGCGTTGGAGCGTGAGGGTGCGGGTGCGATTGCGATGGGACACGAGAATGGTGGGATTGTGAAAACTGGCTCTGCTGCCTAGCCTGAGGTTGACTCTGAGAAAACTGCGGAGTAGGCGGGAACTGGGTTTGTTGGATCTGGAATTGGGACTGGGTAGGAGGGGGTGAGAAATGGGGCTGGGGCTGCTGAGCTGGGTACTGCTGTTCGGCTTGCACTGGTGGGAATTGACCTGCGATTAATTCAGTTGTACGCTGTGCAGCGAGGGCTTGGCCTGTTGGCTGTTGAGAGGGCTGAGGAGGTGAAGGATGGGTTGAAGGAGGATTGGGAGGAACGGAAGGGAGCTGTGAGTATTGGCCTGCGTGTTGCTGGAAAGGGTGCATCAGAGAGAGGAAGGAGAAAGACAACAGAAATATGGAATGGAGAAAGTGAAGATAAAGGGGATCAATGAACAGAAAACGTAAGGGAAATTCCAAGAGCACCTCGAGAGTCGCTTCGATCACGTGATAGGGGGATTCAAAGACTTACCTGGCCTTCAGCGCTCCTCTGTCTATAGTACCCAGAAGTCCGGGAACCACCATGTGCCGAGCGCCGTGAAGTGGGTATAAGGTGGCGCTGTTGTGAATGTTGCTCAGGCTGCTGCTGCTCTCTAACTTGGTTTTGAGCAAATGAGTACTGGGTCGTCTCTGCTCCTCCGAAGGTATCATACGGCTGCTGGTATGTCGGGTGCTGTCGGGGAAAGTATTCGGCACCTGGACCTGTGAATGGGGTATTCCAGACGTTCATGGAAGGCTGCTGGGCTGTAAAGCCTGAGGCCTGAGTAGGGTCATAGAAGGAAGAGCTGGTGACGATCATCTGTCGAGATGCTGGAAACCACTGCTGGTCAGCTGTAGCTGGTGGTACGGAAGTGGATTGGTGGAAAGAAGCAGAAGAAGAAGAAAGGGAATGTCCTTGAGTGCGAGGCTGGTTATCTTGTAGTTGTTCGCTCGCTATTCAGGCAAAGAGAAATATGATAGAAAATGAATAAAGGCTAATAGTGGATAGTATAGTGGGACTTACATCCGGAGGTAGGGATTGCGGGTTGAGTTTGATTGACATCAGCTGGCGTCCGGCGGTTAGACATGCCGACTGAATTAATGTCTTGGATTAATAGAGTTAAACGCAAATCGGATTCGTATATCGTGTCTTGGTCGTGAAAGATGCTGATAGCTCTAGTAGGGTAGTCGGGATAAGACAATTATGTTTGTCTTGGGATTAAGATCCAAAGTAAATCCACCCTTGGTCGTCCTGGAAGATGGTTGAGGTTCCTAAACTCCCCTAGCGTGCGTTTGTTGTATGCACAGTTACCGGGTTCTGCGAATCACCGGGTCCAATCACAGAGTTGCGCCGTCGAGATATGATCACTCGTGTATGGTTATAAAGGTAGATCGTTCAGTAAACGAGTTGCAGCACACGCATTGTAACAGTGGCCTGTTAATGCTTCGAACGAGAACGAGACGATGTCGACAAGGAAATGAAAAGTAAACACATGGCTGCTCCTTATTTAACTTATTCACTCCCGTAAGTACTTGATAATGTACCGCCACCCAATCATAGCTCATCCACCCTTCCGCGGGTCCGGCCATCGATTCGATGACTAACCGGTCAGCCCTCTTCGAGTCACTACATGTGCTTCAGAATGCGAATCACAGCCCCCGGTCCTCAATTCACTAGAGAATCTGTGCAACAAAACATATTCCTCGTATCGAGACTTCAATTCGCTACGACTCTGATGTTCTCCCACTAAATTTGATCCGTCCTGTCTAACCTCTCCCGAGATATCAGCATATTCGCTCCAACTCTTTCGTCACACCTTAAATTTTTGCGAGTACCGCATGGTCATACTGCTCGTTCCTGACTACCATCCTCCGCGACTTCTTCTTTAGCACCGCTCCCTGCTATTTCAAGGGAGTCCTTCTCGTGTTCGCCGTCCATCCCCGCCCATGGTGCGCCCATCTTTAAATACTTGCATACTTCCCCGTGCGCGCATCGTCAGCCCTCTAAAATTTTAACCTTTTCATTCCCGCTTCAAGTCTCCTAGCTCACGTGATAGGTGCCGTGTCGCCACGATACGCCTTCGCGTCACTTCGGCATCCCGCCCCTCAACATACGCGATGGTCTGCGCCACGCTTCTTCCATGATATCTCAAGTCAACTATAGAACACTTCACACCAGCTGCATCTTCACTGACCCTACACGGGGAGATAAGGCCCTCTGTAGGTAACACTTCATTAACTTTCATTTCCGCGCCCCCACGCACTCCGTGTCGGGCACGTCTTTGGAACATTATGCCCTACATCCTGTCGTGCACGGCCTTCCAAGTCGGCAAACCCGTCTTTCCAGTCACTCTACGAACGATCCGTTCACGCGTACGTAGGACTATCGGAAACGATACCTATAATAATTCTTCGCATTCTTCTCTAGACTCTAGCCCATGTTCGTCTTCTAATTCCCTCGCCCGTCACTTCTCATTAACATTCATCACCTGACAATGTCGTTCATAATCGCCACTCTAGTCCTTCTAGCCTAGTCCTCATTCATATCTGTCGGGTGGCGTAGGCATGACTCACCAGTTTGGAAAGCGTAGTCGCCCAAAATAGTATCGCTATCTACCAAGTGCCTCATTTCGACACTTCTACTGACAGTACTAGTTCGATTTCGAACGCACTAATGGATGAGAACCTGGATTGTAAAGATGGATCATACCCAATAGTAAGTTCTTCTTGTTTACTCCTTCTCAACATCCTCACCCCGCGCATCCCGTCATGATCAGACTTGCAACGCAGATCCCCCAGTTTGTGGCACTCCCGCTCGGCGTCTTTCGTGGATTTGCAGCCGCCACTGTGGCCACTTCTTACGAGAAGATTTACGCGGCGCTGCGCCACGGATGCGAATGTGTGCAAGTACGTGCCATTCTGGATCTGATCACCCAAATATTCAACGTCAATATCCATTTCGATCGCTATATAAGGGATAACCAAATACCCATGTCTACGTGATTCCTGATTTGCGCCACACCGTAGTAGTGCGTATACCGCATATTTTTTTCGCATGAATCCTCGTGTCGATCGTTCATGGCGAGACCATTACTTTAACTTTTTACGATTAGATCCCCCGCCATTTTTTCACGTGATAATCGAAGGTCTGGGGGTTAGAAGGCGCCCTGACGTATATGGTGCGGCAAGATGTGTTTGGGATCATAGAATATCCGCGGCTAGGACTTCGAAGTGCGGAAACTAAAGTCCAGTTCTAGAACAGTACAACATCAGCCGAAGGCCATACTTATTCTTGTTCGCTAAGCTAGGGCTAGTTACACGAACTTAGTATGTAGATCCCCCGCGCCGTGTTATATCGAATTCTAGATCCTCCCGCGGCTTAGCGCTTGGATTCCGAGGTGCAGAAGGCAAGTACACTACCCTGCTACGATTAGTCGACCCAGACTTATCGCTTATAATAATAGCTCGATTTTCACCGCTGATGTCCTCCCTGCCAGTATCCTCCCTGATTTAACATATGATCTCAGCTCCGACGGGATATTAATGTCTGGATGCAGGATGACTCGTCCGATGTGTTTATTAGGACATAAATGTCCCTCTTATCAGATTCCTTTCCTTTCATCAAGCCGTCCTTTCGACGACTTTCGAATTTCTCGTGTGGCGTGGTGCGTTGTTCGAGACGAAACACACCAGGCTCCGCGGCAACTTCCGAGACTCTTCTTGTCGTTTTCCTTCTTCATTCAAATGTTCGGCCCGATCGTGGAGTCTATTGTGATCGTATTGTTCCTGGCTTGTCTAACGAACTGTTATTATAGCTAGTTGCACATTCGATGTGAAATGGAACCCGACGGTTTCAATCGCCGATTCTGCTGCCTCGCATGCGGATTCAAGCAACGGACGTCAAGATGTCCCTTCTCAGATACTCTTAGTTCCTCGGTCAAATCTGTTTATGCCTCTTTTGACAATGAACTATGATCATCTGGCATGGGATCGGGCACCGCTGTCGGTTGACATAGGCAGTTCAAGGTGGTGCGTTCGTATTTTGGTCGTTTCTTATTTGATCTTCAAACTTGATCCATGCAAGGAATCGGCGGGCCACCGCTGGGATGCATATTCTAACTTGATTATATTTTTGATAGTAACCCTCATTTCGCTGGATCAAACGGTAATTCAGCTAAGTTCCGGTTAGACTTATAATACACATTCTGACTTGATCATATTTTTGAAAGTAACCTCGTTTAGTGTTTTTCTGATTAAATGGCGATTCAGCTGAGTTCCGAGTAGACTTATATATGATGCACATTCTAACCTGATTATATTTTTAGAAAGATCTTATCTTGCTGGATCAAATGATGATTCTAAGTCCCAGCTTCGGACCAGCATCGACGCTCAACCACTGATAGCAATCAAGGTCATTTCACATGATCTAATACCATGCAGGTATCGCTTATACCGACTACCCCTTAACATATGCTGTTCACAACGTATGACTCACACTCAGGGCAATTAAATCCATTGACAGAAATAACTATCGAGTCGCTGCCTTCCACGTCATGAGGTCGGTTCGCGTCGAAAGATTATGGAACTAAGCACTTAAGTCGGGTATTTTTTCTTCGTGGCTTCTCTTGCTGTTCGGCACAGCTGTAACTCGGACTGTCGCGGGCCCCGCTCAGCACTAGTGTTGTTCGCATCCTAGGTTTTCTCTTATATACGCGAGCGGCCCGTCCATCTCATGTGGGTGTTCATTGTTCTGAATCTCCGCACGTTGACCTTGTATAGAATGCAGATCTGAGTGGGTGGAGATTGAGAATAGTCGAAGTGGCGATAAGATGATCAGTCGAGAGGAAGACACCTTGACGTCAATCTCTGGAGAGAAGCTGGGTGAAGGTGACTTAGTCAAGTACTAAGTGTCGGCTGATCTCATATAAATATCGGGCAGCCGCACGACCCCGTCAGGAACGCAGTCGCATACTTCGGTCCACCATTCCACGACTACCGGGAGGGATAGCTGAAGGAGACGCAGATAGAAGGAATACCATATCACCGGGATGAAAGTGGTATATAATAGGCTACCTTACGGGTACACTCAGGCTAAGCCATTCTGAATTCAGAGTCGAGGATAGACATACTACAATAAGACTGGTAATAAGCGGGGCCCGTGAATGACTCTGAATGATGCTCCATGTCGACGAGGGGCCTACTTCTAAACAGTACAGTACTCATTTTGAGCAACGATGGCCCAACAAGACGGCTCGACGAATGCTAAGTTCATCAAACGCGGTCACGTGCATCGCGTCCTGCTAGTATTACAGTATTACTCTGGTTCGTCTGATAGACTGATCTCTCTCTCTCTCTCTCTCTCTCTCTTTATTACCCTTTCCTTCGGCACATCATGGAAGGCATATACATTAGTTGGTGCTACGAGAAGCAGTGCGTAGTTGCTGCCAGTGTGCGTCGATTCGTCATCAGTTTGAACACTTTTGTTGACGCTTCATTTAAGACATGCCGCAGAGCACACTTGTGAGGGTCTAAGTTTGTCGGAAGTCGTTGGTGCAAGAGCTATCCCGGGCCCAGACTAGGAAGGGTGTACCCTGTTATGCAAGTTGAATCGTCGATGTTCCTGTACTTTCTGACGGTATTCCGATACAGGCGATGCGCGATACATACAACCGTTGACCACACATTTATTTGACATCATAGGCGCTCTAAGTATGTGCAACGAGCGCCTGCTCTTTCGGCTCGATCCTTACCGGTTCTTAAACGTTCTATGTACTACCATCTGATCGCTTTTGCCTAGTACTAACGCTTATATACTTTGGCTCGGCTGATATAACCCACAACCCACATATCCTTATCTACACTGCCAACGATCACATGGAACCATCCCTATCCCCAATCAGATCGCTCAGAGGCCACACTGACTGGGTACAAGAAGTGTTGTTCTCAAAAAACAGGAATGATCTCAAAGTTATAAGCACATCCAACGACAAGACTGTTCGGATTTGGGACGTGGAAACAGGAGAACAGGAACACTCGCTGGAAGGACACGCTAGTAGAACTTGTGGATTGGCTGTATCAATGGATGGAAGCAGAATTGTGAGTGGGGCGGAAGATGGCAAGATCATCGTATGGGATGCAGATACGAAGGAGATCATCAGATGTCTGTCGCATCACACAGACTGGGTCATTTGGGTACGGTTCTCACCTGACGAGAAAAGACTCTCTTCCGCATCGCGCGACGGCACACTCAAGATCTGGGATGTAGAGACATGGGAACTTGTGCTCGACATCGATGATCATCAGGGCGGTGTATGGACAGTTGCCTATTCTCCCAATGGAACGAAGATTGCGAGCGGGTCATATGATCAAACGGTTCGCATCTGGAACGCAACGACCGGCAAGCAGCAAACACAACCACTTTCCCATGGCGCAGCAGTGAGCTCGATGGTCTGGTCTCCAGACAGTCGTCGTCTCATTTCTGCCTGCGATGATGGCCAGATCTACTTCTGGAGTGCACCGACTGGTGCCCAGCTCGGATCCCCACTGCGTGCACATTCCAACAGCATTAACTTGTTGACCATCTCACCTGATGGTGAATTGATAGCCAGTGCGTCCAGTGATCACACTGCGAGGCTGTGGAGCACCTCTACCCGCAAATCTTTTGGTCGTGTGCTTCAGCATGCCTCTGTGGTAAGCACAGTAGCCTTCTCGCCGGACAGCCAACTTGTCGCCACAGGGAGTACGCAGAACACAATATTTCTGTGGGATATATCGCAGGAGTCCGCCATCATGACGAATGCGGTGTCGCCTTCATTCGTTTCCCCAGCGTCTAACATCATTGACCAGGTAATGAATTTCTGTTTTGTCTACACAGCAGCATATCTAATGCAAATATATTTTAAGCCCTCAGCAAACTCGCGTTCTCTTTCAGCATATTCTATACGAGCATCGGATGAGCTAGCTGATGAAATTGAATTGCTATCAGAAATCGTAGGCTCGCGTGATGGTGCTACCTTACCTTCCCCATCTCTCCCTCAAGATCACTCCGATCACGATATCCCTACTCCAGCCCGCTCCTCTTTTGCAGTCGAGCTTTCTGACAGAATCTATGTGTCTCCAGAAACCGTCATCTCGCGTGGTGCAGCTGCATCCCCTTCCCCATCTTTTTCCCCTCAGGGCTCCTCTCGTCCTCAAATACCTCTTGCTTCAGCTTCCACTCCGGTCCTAGCCTCACCTCCAAAGTCGGTTTGGAAGCGCTTTCCTATGTTCAACAGGTCTGCAGCATCTGTAGACTCCAAGCGGTGGAAATTCTCGCGCATTGGTAGCATCATGTACGCAGCTTCCTTTCTCTATGAACATGTCCTGAATTTTGATCCGTAGGCAGCGCAAGCATCGGAACGTGGGACCTGATGATGCCCAGGATTAGTGTGCTTCTAGTTCCTGTCATCATTGGCCCCCCGTTATATCGTATCGTACATCCCGTACCCGGTCCAGTTGATATAACATGACTACTTTGCAGTCCGTGTGTTCTCTATCACGAATTAGGCGTTATATTTCATTTAAGGCAGGTATTCCTCTGAAGCCAGCGCTTTATTCCGAACATCCAGCGTAGCACTCCAAGCCATATCAATGTAGTAGCACGCCCGTCATAGCACAGTCACTACCTCGGATGCGCAGCCCGAAATCCTGTCGACCACGAACATGTAATCAATTATTCGATTAGCATAGGTTTATTCTACAGCGTTGCCTTGCACTAATGATGAACATTAAGAAATCGCTGGTGGTAAGCAATGACTTGAGTACAGTGTGTCCATCCCACACTGGACTGTCAGTGCGGACTCGCTGTCAACTCTCCAGTATCGCCATAAATATTCGCCACAATACTTCTCTGGGTGGCTAAAACATATGACTCGAGCCCCAAAGGATCACAAATAAGAATCAGTCACAGTACTTACGACAGCTTTTGGTGTAACATTTTGGATGTCGAAAAGCTTGATACTAATGAAAGCGCAACATCCTTGACTAGAACGGTTCTGCTTGGTCATTTTAGGTCTTTTGAGAACGTTTAACCTAGTCGGTGATGATGAAATCACGATACACACAATGCTAAAAACGATATCACATAGACTGCTCAGCGTATCAGCTAGGAGTCAAGGGTGGTAAATAGATCAGACAGACGTGTGCTCTGGACTTGGACAAAAATAATGAACGCTAGATCATTTGGTGACTGAGAAACTCATTGGAGTTAGCTTTGGAGGTGGACTATCTTCGACGTCTGCTTAGCATGGTGACCACCAGAATTGCGCAACATCTACAGACAATAAGTGTCCGAGTCATGCAAGGTAGACAGTTAGATGTAGGCTTACAACGTGACGGCACCAGCGTTGATGCTATCCAATCGGCTGAGGACACTGTCGATTCTAAGGGAAACAAGGTGAACGTTAACTTTCACGTATAGTCGGGCTAACTGATATCCTACCTGTTCACGTCAGTGAAACGTTTTCAGAGATATATCACTGAAATCACCCATCCAACCACCATGCATATAGTTTGCTGGTGATAGTGGGACCAAAATACCTTCGGATATTTGTCGAGGTACGTGAGTGTTGTCTGGAGATCTTCTACATGAGATAGTAGAAACTGTTGCAACTATAGTCAGTAGTTAGATCATCAAATGCAGGTACTAGGACGTACCTATAGAGCAGTTTCGCAAGTCCAAATCCTACAAAAACGATTAAAGTGAAGCTCGACGTCATAATCGAATATTGATGGTTTTACCACACTGAATTATTGCTAGCAGGAACTCTCAATGTCAAGATATTTGCAAGAATATTGGTAGCAATCCGGCTTACTGCCCACGCAACTGAGGGAAGAGGCGATGCGTGTATCGGGATACAAAACGTACAAATTCACAACATAAGCTATAATAAACTGCTTATTATGTCACTACGACAGACATCAGGCAAATGAAAGCGATATGTGCCAATAACATATGAAGTCTAGCAGGATCAGCAGTAATTTGTATATTTATACTGAGGGCTTACGCGTGAATGAACAACAATAGATACCGGAAAAAGTGACGCGCCACTGTGTACGCCAAGTTTATCACATCTCGAACTCCAAGGTAAATGGAGCCTAGCCTGTGATGGATCGTGTCAAACGTGTCATTCTTTTGCGTTGCAACAGAATGACACGACTGAAATGATCCATCTATCTTTGGCTTAACCTGTCTAAACCATTCAGTTAAAGCATCGATGAGGAAAGGGTTGTACCGATTTGTGCGATCGTCGACGGTACTTATATATGTAGTTATATTAAAACTCCGCTGGACCTGGACCCGACTTTGCCTCGGCTCACAAATTAACTCCTGCTCATTCTGATCGACCCTTCAAAAGCTTCAAATTAGATGCTTTCTTAGACCCACCGACGACAACTCTCACTGAAAGACCTAATTACAGTCTTTGCTCACCCTTGTAGATTTCGGTTGGAAGCTTTCCGGTGGAAGAGTTTATGGTGATATTTTTTTTCGGATAACCTTCAAAATTCTTGTTATACCATCAACTGCGGGATGATTTCTTACACTCGTTCAACGTTGCACGGTGGTGTTGGTATGATTTCTTTTTCTCACTCCGTTCCTTGATACATTCCCAGGGATATATTGCATTCGTTGGTTGCTCGCCGGGGATGGGACGTGGTGATACAATTCACACTTTTCCCAGATACCCTTCTGCTCCTTGGTAACTACGACCTTTGCTTCCATTCAACTCTTTCGACGTTGAACGCAGCCGGTCTAGACTGTCTAGGCCTGAGATGGAACTCGAGTAGATGAAGAATCTTTGGTTCCGCGATACACTGCCATAGCGTTGGTGTCATCTTCTCTTCGCGGCCGCCACGTCAACAACGAGCAACTCTGATCCAGGGCGATGGCACGGCGAGGCTTGCAAATTTTAAATATAACTGACCTGAAAATAGTTGTGGCAGGAAACCGATGTGAAGCCAACTTCTGAAGAGTGCTAATGGAGAAACTTAGCCAGGTATCGCTCCTACCGACCTAATCTAGCATTAACGTTGATCATTGAGGTTGGCAACGTTGTCATTAATGAAGTGCGTGTGCTGACTTGAACATGCTGGCCCAGCGATCTCCGTCATGATGGTGCGAGGTAAATGGGGTTTTTTGAATTTTGTCTAGGGTATTATGTGTTCACCTAGCTGGGATTTATCTATTCACAAAAGGATTCTTCTCACTCGACTTGAACTTCCAGACAGAAGTGTAGACACCTGCACTTCACTCGCTAGTCACAAAAGAGCTGTCTTGCTCATCATAGACGCCCTCCGCTTTGATTTATCGCAGAACACCCGCCAGAACCTGTTTCACTTTTCCACAATAGCATCCTGACTCTACCATGCAAATTGACCGCTGCTCGTCTAAACAGATCATTCACATTTAATACGTACTCTGACCTACTGACCACAGCTCTCCAGCGACTCAAAGGCATCATCACATGGTCTCTACCAACCTTCTCAGATGCAGGAGAAAACTTCGTAGGCTCTTCTATCTACGAAGATTCTATCATACATCAGCTAAACGCTGCGGGAAGAAAGGTATGTGCTGACTTCTTTTTCCCTGATACAATCCAAAGGAAAGATTGCTCTCGCTGGCGATGACACCTGGCTCGCCCTTTTCCCAGATGCCTTCCAGCCAAACATGTCATTTGCCTTTGACTCCTTCAACGTCGAAGACCTTCATACCGTAGACCAGGGTGTCACATCGACAATCTTTTACCTTTGATGCTACATTATCGAAACTCATAGGATTTTGCCGTTTAGGCGTCGATCACGCAGGTCACATAGTCGGCCCAGACTATCCCCTCCTCAGGAAAAAAACTCGAGGAGATGAACATATTCCCGTTGCTCTCAACACCTTTAGGTCCTTGTACTCGAAGTGCTGGCAGTGTCACTGATCGTATCTGGAACCTCCCTCCTAACCCCGAAAAACCATCCCGCCCCCGCCCGAACGTACTAAGAGTCGCAGATGTCGTTATATTTTGCGGTGTTGGCGTTTGGAGCAGTGTTGAGGCGGCATTTGATGGTACGGGTGATCTTTGCGCCCAGGTATTCTGTGGCTGGATTTGGGCTTTTGATTGTCGGGTGTTTTGGTTGGTGTGGGAGTTGGGGTTGGGAGGGGCGGTGGGTATGGAGTGTTGTGTTATATGCTAGAATTTAATGCTCCTTGGGTCAACCACTCTGACCACGTGCCGTTTTTTACTATAGCAAGAACCCGATATTTGGGATCAGAACGGGTACTTGGGGAGATTGCGTGTACTGTCACGTGCACTTCGTAGCTTTAACGTGTTTGATGAATTGGAAAAAACATACCTTTATCACAGCTGTCTTGGGAGAAAGAACAATGGTCTTCTCCTCACACGTCCCGTTCTATTGCTAGTCACAACTCACCTGCCTCACACTCATGGCCATGGATGTCGGCAAACGGACACCGTGGTTCGTCTTATTGTCCGCCTAATATGAGCAAGCGCTCGTGTCGGATCATTACGTCGTATCCCGTGCCCGTCGCGCCTGAAAAATTAGCGTCACCTGGGTTTCATCCTTCAGGTGGGTGCTCCACCCTGTCATTCAACAAGGACCCACAACGCGGACACGACTCCATGTCTGACTCCTCATTATCACCAACTCCCAGACCCTGTTCACGCACAGTAAGCGTCCAACTCCCCGACATTCTCTCTTCATGCGTGCCCTTTGAGCTACGCGTAAATCGACATTGTAGGTCCGTATCTCGAGCGAGCGAGGCGTGGCTGTGTGATGTAGGGTTGAAGTTGGAGTGGAAAGGGATAAAGGTCGGCTTATGGGCTTCTTTGTGCTATCCTGGTGCGGATCTATCGCAGTTGAGGTTGGGGGCGGATTTTTTGAGTTTGTTGGTATATGAGCAGGAGCAGGATGGCTGTACAAATGAGAATGAGGTGTTTGATCTGTGAGTTCCCCATGACGGTCCTTTGAATGTTTTTGATTTCGCTGACAACGCGTACAAAGGATATCCGATCGACTCAGTCGCGTCGCGTACAAAAACCCAGCGTGGTACATGCGTTTCCACCGATCTATGCGCATGTATCACGATGCAAGGCGGCGTCTTCATTCGCTGGATTCGACGTGTGTCCCAGACCTGGAGACATACGTCGATCTGCGAAGAAACGCGTCGGGTTTGAAAATGGTGTTTCACCTGATTGAGTACGCGGGGGGGTTAGACCTCCCAGAACGGGCGTCTTCGCATCCGGTATTGAAGCAGTTGACAGACCAGGCTTGTGATCTTATAGCATGGTCTGAGGTGCGTCATTGCCCAAATATATTTATATTCTTAGTACTGACTTCTGTTCTAGGACGCGATCTCATGTGCAAAAGGCATGACTCCAAGCTCGCGAATCAACATCGTCACCGTTCTGATGAAAGACCGCAATTGTTCGTTCGGGAGTGCGCTTGCGTACGTGGGCACGCTCGTGAAGCAGAGCGCAGATGGGTTCTTGGCTACTGAGCGCCAGTTCGCTGCGTGTGCTGTGATGGACGACGATACGAGGCGGTATGTGAGGGGGTTGCGGGATTGTATTGCTGGGAGTGTGAATTGGCTGTATGAGACGGAGAGGTACCTGGGGACGAAAGGGAATGAGGTCAGGGCGTTTGGATGGGTGTTTGTACCTGTCTTAGATTGATGTCCATGTACGTTATGTGTACGTGCTAGATGTATTCGATCGAATGAATTGTAGGATAGTTTGTGGTGTGATTTTGATTGTAGATGCCATGCATCGTTCCGTCAGTCCCCCATTTTTGATTAGTAGCCGCAGTATAGTATTATTTTGTCCATCGTCGACTCAGCGTAGGATCTGCGTTAAGGCAGCCACCGCGTTGAAGCTTACATTGCCTGCTACATACTTCTTCTCTTCAGTCGTCGTATCAAGGGAATTTCCTATGGACATCTGACCGTGAACGCATGGCCAACAACAGCTAATGACACACTTGTTGCAGCCGGACTGCATAGGTACGGGAGAAACAACACGATAGAACAAGGGGAAAAGGTCTACTAAATAGTAAGAGTCTACTAAGACAAGACATGAAGAACGGACACATGGGCCTATTGATGCTAGGCATCATTAGGACCTGCTTGGAGTTCCACATTTCGATGCTTCCGCTGCCTAGGGATCAAATTCAGGACATGATCATGAAGTAAGGAAGCTGCGTACATGATGTTACTAATGCGCGGGAATTTCCACCACTTGGAGTCTACAGATGCTGCAGACCTGTTGAACATAGGAAAGCGCTTCCAAAACGGCTTTGGAGGTGAGGTGAGGACCGGAGTAGAAGCTGAAGTAAGCGGTACTTGAGGATGGGAAGAGCTTCGATGGGGCAAGGATGGGGAAGGGGATGCAGCTGCATCACGCGAGTTGATGATTTCTGGAGGCACTTGGATTCTGTTGGAAAGCTCGACTGGAGGGGAGGTGCGGACTGGAGAGGGGATTTCATGATGAAAGTGACTTTGAGGGGGTAAAGATGGGGAAGATGAGCTAGTAGCAGTATCACGCGAGCCTACGATTTCTGACGGCAACTCGGTTCCATCCGGTAGGTCATCCGATGCTGATGTAGAGGAGACGGAAAGAGAATAAGAGCTTGCTGATGGCTTGAATAAAACTTGCATCAGAATATTCTGGGGTATAGATAAGACACAAGATCATTACCTGGTCGATGTAGCTCGTGATGTTAGACGCTGGGGAAACGAATGGAGGCCCCGACACGGTATTCGTCATAACGATGGACTCCTGCGATATATCCCACAAAAATATTATGTTCTCATCGCCGCCGGTGGCGATAAACTGGCTATCTGGTGAGAAGGCTACTGTGTACACCTCATCGTCATGCTGGAGTACACGACCAAAAGGTTTGCGGGTAGAGGTGCTCCACAGCCTCGCGGTGTGATCACTGGATGCACTGGCTATCAATTCACCATCAGGTGAGATGGCCAACGAGTTAATGAAATCGAAATGTGCACGCAGTGGGGATCCGAGCTGTGCACCAGTCGGCGCACTCCAGAAGTAAATCTGGCCATCATTACAGGCAGAAATGAGACGACGACTGTCTGGAGACCAGACTATCGAGCGTACTACTGCGTCATGGGAGAGTGGTTGTGCTTTCTGCTTGCCAGTCGCTGCGTTCCAGATGCGAACCGTCTGATCATATGACCCGCTCGCAAACCTGGTTCCGTTAGGAGAATAGGCTACTGTGGATATTCGACCTTGGTGATCATCGATGTCGAACACGAGTTCCCATGTCCCCGTATCCCAGATCTTTAGTGTTCCGTCCTCTGATGCAGAGGCAAGTCTTTTCTCATCAGGTGAGAACCGTACGCAAATGACCCGGTCTGTGTGATGCCACAGGGATCTGATGATCTCCTTCGTATCGGCGTCCCATATGATGATCTTGCCATCTTCCGCCCCACTTACAATTCTCCCCCCATCCATTGATACAGTCAGTCCAATAGTCCCACTCGCGTGCCCCTCCAATGTGTTTTCCTGTTTTCCTGTTTCCACATCCCAAATTCGAACAGTCTTGTCGCTGGATGTGCTTATAACTTTGAGTTTATTCCTATTTTTCGAAAACACCACTTCTTGAACGGAATCAATGTGACCTCTGAACGATCTGATCGGAGAGAGGGATGGCTCCATGTTGTCGTTGGCAGAGTGGGTGAGGATCTGGGAGCTCTGGATCAATCGAGCGAAAGTAGATTAACGTTAGACAGAAGCAGTCAGTACATAGAAAAGCTTAGGGACCGATTAGGATCACACCCGAAGAGCCGAAGGAGTAGTTGCATACTGAAAGACCTTAGGGTGTGCAACAACTAGGTGATTGTGTGTACATGCAAGACTCCCATATGTTCCCTGTGTCGGACTACCACAGTATATACGAATGTCGACTGAGCTGGACAACATGGTACTCCTTTCTGGACCCATAGTATAGGATGTACTACTCAGACAGACACAAGTACCTCTGCGACATGTTCTAGACTAAACGTGAGTCACAGAGATCGAGACACAGTAGCCACGTACTGATTCTAGCAGCACCAACTATCATCTATACCTTTCAAGCTTCATGGACATCTGGAGCCAGCATCTCTGACCTGGCTCATTGAACGCGTTTTCCGACGCCCGCCCGTACCGAGTGGTAGGACATCTCCTCATATTCGCCCCTTATGTCACTCGTACTGACAGGGGAGTCGTGCTAAGGGACTTGGATAGGCTTGCTGTCGCCTACAGTCGTATAAGGCTTGAGCTGCGAGCGGTTGGACAAGTGGATGGTCTCTCAATGGAGTTTGGCCTTCAAGTTCTCCGGGTGAGGGAAGTCGGGTTTCGAGTTGATGAATTTAGTGTTCTGTACGAGTGCAATAGCGACGAGAAAGTCGTTTGCGCTACGCGAGTGAGAGGACTGAGACTCGAAGGTCCTGACCGTGACTCTGGGAGCGCGGATGTACATATAACGTTCAAATCCATGACTTGTTTGTGTTGGGCGTGCAACATCGACGGTATTCCTTTCTCTGCCAGTTTGTTATCACGGTAAACGATAAACGAACTCTATGATAGCGTACCTTCCTGTTTCGGATCGTATGTGTTCTGTTTACAACGCTGAGGTACAGTTCATGCAAACCAGCCTCGGAAATCTAACCTTTCGACGTCCGTTTAGGTTGCACAGTAGGGGTTTCCTTCGCGCGGAGTTTGAAATGGTAAGCGTCTGGTTTGCAATAGATGATCGCCGTACTGATCGCCGGTCCAAACCCCGTCCTCAAACGCCTGGTAATCCGATAAACGAGACTTCTACCAGCAGTTCTGTTTACAACGCTGAGCTTCGCTTCTTAGTTCAACGTTCATCAGTTCGGAGGACAAGTTGTGGGAGGTTCAAGTGACTAGTAGTAAGTGTATTTGATGCGCACTCACAAAGAACCGCAGCAGTGGTCGCAGCAGTTGCCGCAGCAGTCGTAGCAGTGGCGCAGCATTTTCACTATGCCGCTCTTAGGATTCATTCATTCACGAAAAAAAATTGGAACAGATAGTCAGGCTGTTCATGAAGTTTTTGCGCCTTTTGTATCTCAAATCCACGCTTAGGGATATCCTCCACAATGAAACCAACTCGTTTATATCGTTCTTGATATATGATAGTTTGTGAGTGGCCTTTATTCAAATACATGAACTTGGTCAGATTTCTAATGAGATTTCAAATATGGGTGCTAGCATCATGATGATCATGGCGCATGGAAGATGCTGTGATCGCACAGAACATCGGTATCTTTCTACTGGCTCTTCGATGCGGTATTTTCCTACAGACATCACGCCAAGTGAGTTGTTAGCATCGCCATACCAGTATCACTAACTACGATCTATATTTCTTCACCGAGATAGTCGGACAGTTTCCCACGCACACAGTAGATAATGAATAAAACGGTCGTTTCTTTGTTCCTCCAGATTCCTGCCCTGCCCTTCCTGCTAATATGCCATCAGTTGTGATGTCAATCATGCAAGGACCACTTTGTGGCGCCTTAGCTAACATGCTACTGTATGGGGTCATCTGCATGCAGACCTTTCGTTACTGGCAGGCATACGAGCATGACAGGAACATTCTGAAGTGTCTGGTAAATCTATCAGACGAATATATATCACAGTTTATCTGACATAGTCATAGGTAGCGTTCATCTGGTATGCTAAGCATCGTTTTGTTGGCGTGTCACAAGCTACTATATTTGACTTTTCAGGATTCTCGAGACTGCTCATACAGCATTGACAATATATACCGTTGAGTTTTATCTCATCATGCATTTTGGAGATAACACAAGCTTGGAATACGCAATGTGGTGCGTCAATTTATTCATACTTCTATTCCGGTTCATTCAGTCTTTATCACAGGGGAATGCCCGTAAGCAACTAATGCAGACAAACGATTTACTGCTGATCTCATCACATTCCACCAGACTTCAGTTATTATCGGTGTACGTCACTTTTAATTTGCCTGACGTTTGTCGTAGTAACACGATCGTAGTTTATTATTGCCTATGCTGTGAATCTGTAAGTCTTTTCAAGTGTTATAAATGTTCTAAGTTCGCGCTGATGCGTGATACCAGTTGCTTCATCTGGCGAGTACTGCAGCGTGAGTGTATATCGATACACGCAGTTGCCTCCTTCCTCAATTACATGTGCAGTTTCGCAAAAACGCTGGATTGCTGTTTGCTTTGTAAGGTACATATCTATGAGATCGAAAATTTCCGCTCATGCCCTTGTCATAGTTCATTTTTGCAACCATTCGCTGCGGTAAAACCTTCAATTATATGATCGAACTGCCGTTGATCTTTTTGGGCAGGATTTGGACTTGCAAACTGTTCCTTGACGCACGTGCCACCTGTGTTGGATGATCTACCTGCTGACTGTAGTTTGAACAGTTTCTTTTATCCCAAGTGGCAGATCTTTGAAGAACGCGTCTATGTATGTACCTCAACGATTATCCGCAGGTCTGCCGGTCTCAATATGTTGCCAGCCAACTATGGTGGTTGGATGGGTGCTTTCAGCAGTGGTCGACAGTGCGATTGCGTTTACACTATGCATTTACCTTAGAAAACGTCGCACTGGCATGAAAAGGCATGATACCAATTAGCCAAATTCGAAATCAAATTCACCTTGTTGCCTTTAGAACTGACAACGTCCTCAACTGCCTCCTATTGTATACCATCAACACTGGTGCTGTCACATCGTAAGCCTACTGCCAATTTTAATAGTCAACCTCCTGTGATTCGGGGACTTATTTTCTACAGGTTTTGTGCAGTTCTGGTGGTCATCATGGTAAGTAGACACCGAAGCTCATCTCACAAACTAATTTCTATCAGTTTCTCGGTCTACCAAACAATCTCGCGTTCGTTGGGTTTGTCCAAGTCCAGAGCAAACGTTTGTCCGATTCAGTTGTCATCCTTAACTCCTAGCTGACACTCTACAAAGTCTATGCAATATCACTTTTGGCATCGTGCGTTGTTGTAATTCAAGTAATATTTTCTATCTGAAAACGTCCACCAGGTTAAACAACCGAAAAAGACTCGAAGTGACCGATCAGAATTTTCGCTCTGTGGAAGGCGTTGCGAGTTCCCACATGCCTCACTTTTCGGCATTCAAACCATCACAGCGGATGCCGTCTCATCTGGTCCGTACTTTCCAACTTTTTTGTGATAGTCTGAGGCTCAGGTCATGTGTTAGCAACCGATCGAAGTGCGGACGAGTGTTGTGATGGATATTTATGGCGACAGTCTGGATACTGGATTGGACAGCACGTTTCAGGAGTGACTGTTATGGCTGTGCTGACAAGATATAATTTAGTGTACTTCGTTCACTGTTTACCACCAGCGATCTGTTATGTTATTCAATGATGATATTCACGTACAGGGTGATGCATTGCAACTCTTGTCACTTGTGGGTCCGAGCTGTCATGAGGAAAGATCACGATATGCACCGGGTTAAACTAGTAAGGTTGAACGGATATACTTAACGAACAAGAGAATACATGCATCAGCTCGCCGAGTTCTTCGACTCGTTGACATGAAACATGTGCAACCCGTCCGTCAGGAAGTCAAAGATTTCATTTTCACGTGGATCCCTTGATTTCCTGGTACAATATTCAACACTTGGACTGCGCATAGAATTGTGCTTGTGCGGTACGGTCGGTACCATGGTGTTGCGGCATCTTCCGGCATTAGTGTCTTGTTCTCCTCCACCTTCATTCCAAAGTTTTCGAGTGCAGTGTAATAAGCAGGTGTTTCTCTAGATTTCTCGAGTGCATTTAGCTATAGTGCATGTCGTGGCACCATGTCCATGTCTTCTTACCGCCTATTCAACCGTGTTAACTTGTTTTCAACCAATTTGAAGTTCTTTATTAGGTGGCAATGGACACGTGCCAAGCATCCTTCCAGCTTATCCAAGGGGTCATTCGTGAAACGTCAGAACCATACAAGTATCACTACTGACATGTCCTTACTTCAGCACACCGGTCCATCGACGTTTTACATGGAATTAGCAGAGTTACCCCTTCCTGTGTCTGCTGATTTTGTTGGTGGCGATGGTGCGTCTACTAGTCAATATAGCCAGAGATTGATGACGGACACCCACACAGTTCCACGCGTCACTTACACCGTTCGCGATCTTGAGCGTAATATCACACGATCCCTCACCAAGACTTTCTCTGGGGGCATCAGTCCTGATCATCAGACAACCTCCCATGATTCCTCCGAAATCAAGGCGTTTAGAACATCTCCTTCCAAATCTCGTCAGGCGGTCCTCCGGGAGGTTTCTAATGGCACAAGTACGAAACGTTTCGTCGAAATCTGGGCCGGCCTCCAGATAGAGGCTTCCTTGGATGTCACAAAGTACCACGATGCTTTCCATACAGATGGTGAGTTGAATGAACGCGAATGTCCTGAATGCTTGCAAATTGGATGTCAGATTTCACATCATCGCTCTCCTTCTCCCCATCGGAAACATCCCTTCTTTATACCGCCGAAGCAAACATCATCGGCGATGATAATGCTTTGGACGATCCTTACCCCAAATTCAGATACACCCCGCACTTTGGCGAACTGTCTCGCGGCAAGAAAAGATCGACCATTTTTCTATTCCGCTGGACAAGGTCTACAGCCTTCACAAAGGCTGCTAAGCAAGACATGTTGCTCGTTGCCCTTTCGCTGGCACAGCCTACCCAAACACCCGTCCTGTTTGGTCAAGCTACTTTTGCGACGGAAGATATCATTTACGCCAGTGGACATGAACACACCAAAGACGGTCGACTACTGGGGGTTAAATGGTGCTTCAATCGTCCCATGGGCATATGGGAGATTAAACTTCCCGAGTCAGCAACTGTGCAAGGGACACCTTTTGGTACTAAGATATCATGCAACGCATTGAAGCTGACTCCCTCAGAACGGTCTTGTCGTTCACCTCGTGTATTATATGATAAAAATCAGACGCCCACTAAACTCTTCTGGTTCTCGAATCCTGTCGGCGGTCCCCACGCATCTTGCGTTTCTCTAGAATCTCGCGACCTAACTACAGGTACCAACAAGGTCCTCGTAGACACCGTGATGGAGCCCACCCCCGAAAACGACTTTCCAGGTCTATATCCCAATTACAACATGCCCTCCAGCCCGTTTTTGCGTCGCGGAGACCATACATACATCGTGCTCCACTCCTTATGGCGCTCCCGTGCGACGATCCTCTTCATTGATACAGAATCCGGAGCAGTTTCAGACGAGACAAAGATGCGAGATGGCGAACCTTTGTATAGTTGGGACTTACATGCTACAGACGACAAGACGCATTTCATCTGTTCAAGGAGCACGCCTACTGCTCCACCCGAAGTATTACTAGGATACTTTGATGAACACGACAACCTCAATTGGAAAGTCCTAGATAAACCAATGATGTCTTTCGGAAGTACGTTCAAATCAATTTGGATTCTTGCCAAGTCTAATCATACCTTTCAGCTGAGAGCGCACTACGTGATCTCGCTGCATCGATCATACCCATCGGCGCGCGTCCTCCAACAGAGACTATCGTAATTCAATCGAAGAAAGCTTCCACGAGACCTGGCCCAAAACCCATCTGCGTTAACATTCCACATGGAGGACCACATGCATCAACGACAACATCATTCTCCCCAGCTACTGCTGCACTAGCCTTGGAAGGATGTAAGTCTTTTTGACTTCGCGCCTACTGACCACTTACAACAAGCATGCTCTCAGATACAATCTCCCTGCCCAACTATACCGGCTCCATGGGATTCGGCGAAAAGTACATTCAAAAACTTCTTGGGAATTGTGGAACAATGGACGTACAAGATGTCGTAGAGAGCGTCAACGAGCTCATCCGGCGTGGTATCTCAGAACACGGACGACAAGTTGTCCACGGTGGAAGCCACGGCGGTTTCCTCGCTGCGCACCGTAAGGCTCCATTTCGAAAACAACAACTCTTTTTCACACTGACACTGACATACACAGTTATCGGCCAATACCCAACCCTATTTAACGCAGCAGTGATGCGCAACCCCGTGACCAGTGTCGGCGAACTAGCAGCATCCGACATTCCCGACTGGGCCTATGGTGAATTTGGGCTCCAACTTACCCCGGACTCGCTCATGACACCCGCCACGTTCCAAAAAATGTTTGAAGGGTCGCCTATCGCGCACGTTGATAATGTACGCGCACCTGTACTGTTGTTGATTGGAGAAGACGACTTGCGTGTGATACCGGCACAGGGATTGAGGTTTTATCATGCGCTCAAGGGTAGGGAGAAGATAGTGGAGATGTTGTGGTTCAAGGGGGAGACGCATTCGATTGATGGTGTTGAGGCGGCAAGGGTTTCATGGGAGGCTGGGAGGGATTGGTTTAAGAATCTGGGGCAAAGCCCAGCTGACTGATGATGTAGGGGATTTAAATGCTGCTGTTATGTGGCCAACGTGTGGGATGCGGGACGTGAGCAAGGAGGATGTGCTTACATAGTGTTCAGGCTGGAAAGTGCCTCGCGTGTTCGCTCCATTCCGTATGATATAGTATTAGTCCGTACTGGCGATGTTATATGAAACCACCGAGCAGACTGTTCCCGCTGTGGAAGGCGTTGCACTTTCATTCATGCCTAACTTTTCGGCATCTGAATTACCACACCAAAAGCCGTTGCACCTAGTTCGTAGTGGTACAAATTCTTATTTATGATCGTCTGGGACTCAAGTCGTACGTTTTAGCCACTGATTGAAGCCTAGAAGAGTTTTGTGATGGATATTTACGGCGACGTTTTGAATACTAGAATGGGCAGCACAGTTCGCGAGAGCGAATGTCGAGTCCGCACTGACAGGCCAATAATTTTGGGCCAGTAGGGAATGAATGCATTTAGTTCATTGTTTACTGCCAGTGTTCTAGGCTACTAGGCTTATAATGATCAAACAAGTATTTGTTTGCAGTCGAAAAGACTTCCAGGCTGTGTACCTCGAGTAGTATTTATGTTACATGCGTGCTCTACATTGGCTTGGAGTCCTCTGCCACATTGAACTTTCGAAGTAAAACAACCCACGATCGTGAACACACGCCCAGCAGCAGTGACATATCAACTCGGCTGGGTAAGGGATGCATAATATGATAGAACCAGGGGTGACAAACTATAACAAGACGTGAAGACACGAACAATGAACCTACTGATGCTGGGGATCATCAGGTCCCGCATTCCGATGCTTGCGCTGCCTAGGGATCAAATTCAGAACAATATTCAGAGAGAAAAGGTGTTGCGTACATGATACTACCAATGCGCGGGAATTTCCACCGCTTGGAGTCTACAGACGCTGCAGACCTATTGAACATAGTAAAGCGCTTCCAAAATGACTTTGGAGGCGAGGCCAGGACCGGAGTGGAAGCTGAAGCAGTCGCTATGCGAGGATGAAAGGAACTTTGGGGAGGAAGAGATGGGGAAGGGGATGCAGCTGCATCACGCGAGTTGATGGTTTCTGGAGGTACTTGAATGCTGTCGGAAAGCTCGACTGGAGGAGGGGTGTGGACTGGAGTAGGGATTTCATGATCGGAGTGACCTTGAGGAGACAGAGATGGGGAATGTGAGGCAGCAGCATCACGCGAGCCTACAAGTTCTGTTGCAAACTCGGTCGCATCCAGTAGCTCGTCCAGCGCCGGTGCAGAAGAAGCTGGAAGAGAATGGAAGTTTGCTGATGGCTTGAAAAAAATTTGCATGAGATATACTGCTCTATAAATAAGACACGAATGTATTACCTGGTCGATGTAGCTTGATATGTGGGAAGCCGGGGAAACGAATGAGGGCGACACAGCATTCGTCATAATGGTGGACTCCTGAGATATATCCCACAAAAATATTGTGTTTTCCCGACCGCCTGTGGCAACAAGCTGGCCGTCTGGCGAGAAGGCTATTGCAGATACCCTTTTGGCATGCTGGAGCACACGACCAAAAGGTTTGCGGGTCGTTGTGCTCCACAGCCTAGCGGTGCTATCAACGGACGCACTAGCTATCAGCTCGCCGTTAGGGGAGATAGCCAACGAGATAATCATGTCTGAATGTGCACGCAGTGGGGATCCGAGCTGGGCACCAGTCGGTGCACTCCAGAAGTAGATTTGGCCATCCTTACAGGCAGAAATGAGACGACGACTGTCTGGAGACCAGACTATCGAGGACGCTGGCTTGTCGTGGATGAGTGGTTGGGTTTGCTGCTTGCCAGTCGCTGCGTTCCAGATGCGAACCGTCTGATCATATGACCCGCTCGCAAACCTGGTTCCGTTAGGAGAATAGGCTACTGTGGATATTCGACCTTGGTGATCATCGATGTCGAACACCAGTTCTCCTGTTCCCACATCCCAGATCTTTAGTGTACCGTCCCATGATGCGGAGGCGAGTCTTTTCTCATCAGGTGAGAATCGTATGCAACCGACCCAGTCTGTGTGATGCGACAGACATCTGACGATCTCCCTCGTATCTGCGTCCCATATGATGATCTTGCCATCATTCGCCCCACTCACAATTCTTCTACCATCCATTGATACAGCAAGTCCACTGGTGCTACTAGTGTGTCCACCGAATGGATCTCCCACTTGATTCCCTGTTTCTACATCCCAAATCCGAACAGTCCGATCTGCGCAGGTGCTTATAATTTTGAGTTCATTCTTCTGTTTCGAGAATGCAAGTCTGTTTAAGTAATGAGTATGACCTCTGAACGATTTAATTGGTGATAAAGATGGTTCCATATGGTCGTTGTAAGAGTGAATGAGGGTCTGGGGGTAGAGCAGTCGAGAGGAAGTAGATCAACATGAGGCGAACGCAACCTTGCGTCTATATAGAAAAGTTACTTGTAGACACCGGTAGGGATCACACCCGAATTCGAGCCGAAAAAAGACGCTCGTTGCAGCCTACTAGTCGACCTAGAGTCATGGCTGTGTGCACATGTGCCAGTGAGACTCCCGTGCGTTGCCTGAATTACTCGACATACCCACAGCCCTACAGTGCCTCGCAGCTGCAACTAACGCCCATGCCTTCGAAGCCCCATTTGTATCCAAAGCCAACTCCGGGAAATGTTTTGTTTTGCCCAGGTCACTTACGCTGTGCCGCAGCCTCCCAAACTAGTATGGCGTGACACGAGTCACACTGACCTGTGCTCGATCGATCGATCAATCGATCAGATCTAGAGCTCGCTTGTCCTGTCGTGCTTCGCCATCCATTTTCTTGGAATTCCAAGACCCGACAAGCAGCAGACAAACCTCGCTCTTTCCCATCCAAGTTACATAACCGAGGACGATATCTTCAAGCCTGTCGCCCGTGGCGTTCGCAATGTCATGTGCTCCAGCGAGCTCAGTGCATCTTCATCTCCCCTAATCGAATAAGGGTCATTAGAACACCAGTAGAGTAGTGGCACAAGAGTACATGCTCGGTGGGTTGAACACAGCACATCTGACTTTATTAGCATTTTGGTTCAATAAAGGTGGTGGTAGAACCATTCCAATCCTTGGTTTGAACGCTTTCTGACTCCTTTGAATTCTGAAGACCAGGATTCCGTCACTCGGTTTGCATGACTTCTGTTGGGGGCGGAGATGGACAAGAAAATGCGTTGCATGGACTCCGTGCTGTAGGAGTGGCTTTACTTTTGGTCTTGAGCTGCGCCCTTGAGAGCCACAATACCAGCGATATTGATGGTAAGCATGCCAGGAAATTTACATTCGCTTTGAGCGTCATCAACAGTAAGCAAGCACCTCTGGACCATGAAGTGCGTGGAGGATGTTAAGACGAAGCTGCTGTGTTGCTGGAGCAGCTTTTGAAGAGCGGGACAATCTGGCATGGAGGCTGGAGCCCACAAGCGAGCTGCATGACTCGTTGTCTAATATTGCAGATGTATGTAAATACTATGACCTGAATCAATGAAAAATGCCGTGGACATAGACATGGGTGATGATTCGACTCGAGGTATGGGCGATTGCACAGCTCTCATGCGGGAACATAGTCCTGCAATCCTTCCCCGCAGTATTCCCTAGGACCAAAAAAGTCCTTGATCATTGCATCCCAGCCGTTCGCTAGGTAATGAGATAATCCAGACACTACCACGACCACTACAGCAAGCCCAATACATCCCAGAGCAAGGCTCCCAGCTGGTGTAGGCTCAACGTTGAACTGTAACTGAGCATCGGTGAGTTGACCGTTTTTGCCAACTGAGAAATGCAAAATGAAGAGAGAGATATTGAGCAAGCATATTGCTGCGCCGATAGCGGCAGCTGAGCCGTAAAGGAAAATGTTGAGTAGCAATGTCCAGACTTGCGGCGAGGCGAATACTGCATCTTTGGGTCGCTGAGAAGCCCATTTTAATAGTGCGAGGGCAACGGTTGGCACAATAAAACCGCAGTCGAACAGTGCAAACGCATAGCACATGAGCCCGATGTTGCCTCTTGACGACCTTATATAGAATCGTCGGTATACGGAATGCATAGAGGACTGGATATACGTACCCAAAGATCGCGCCGTACGTCAAGCTGGCACCTACAAATGCAACCTGCCCAAGAGTCAACAAAAGATGTTCATGGGTTCGTGATGTTTTCTATGAGTCATAATGAGTATAAAGACATGGCGAAGTTTTCGGGGTCATCACCTCTGCCCAGTCAGAAAATCCACGGTATCCAGTGCGATTTGCAATAGCTTGTGTGCGGGAGTAGAATGTTATGTCTTCTACATCTTTCTCCAGCGTTTTCAGCTGCGTCAGGAAAAAATTGAGTTGAACCATTCATTAAATGTATTCATCAGGTACAGACGTGTGCTTGCAGTGATTGTGATTGTGATACTTTCTGAAGATACGCCTCGACTTTGCAGTGTATCTGTCAATGAGAAAGTTAATGCGATGGATCCAGCGGGGACACTGTGCTTACTTCAAGCTCTTGTGACTGTATGTTGTACCGTTCCTTGCGCACCTGACAGAGCTACAATTATGGAATGAAAATTGATATATACCATCTATTCGATAGATGAGTACCATGGATTTGCAAAATCTAATCTCTTCTTCAATCTCTTTTGTGCGGGTTTCTCCTTGTTGGACGAAATCATGCTTGTCTCCAATACTCAGTACGCACAATGCTACTAATCAATGGAATGGACTTACGTGTTCGTGTGATTCCCTGATAGCGGCAGACGGAAACAAAGCTAATTTGAGACCTTGATATAACAAACGATCATTCAAACGAACCTAAGTAGCGATACATGGGGAGAACGTACGATGGCAGGTTGTAGGTATAGCAAGTTGCCGAGCTAGCTGGCACTTCAACTTCGTGAGGAACAGTTGATGAAAGGGGCAGCGCCAGTGAGGGAGGCACTGGAGGGGCTATTATTGAGTACCATTAACGGTTCCTTGCTAGGAACTCAAGCATACCCCTCGAACAAGCCACTCTACAACCAACAGGATGGATAGCCAAAACCACATTATTCCATAAGGAAAAAGAATCAAACAATGCACGCATAATGGAAGTCGCCCTTTCATGGATGGACGACGTGACAGTCAATATTCGGTAGGTAAACTTGAGTGGGGGAACAGAGCGATAATTGAGCGGAGAGACAAATCTATTTTCAACTTCCAGAAGGCAGAGAACCTGCATCGAGTAAGCCTCGTGTCGAGGAATCACTACATCCAGAAATAACGTGTCATTCAATATTGATGGAACGTTAGTATCGCGGCATCAGGGAGGAACATGATTTGTGAAAAGTGTGACAAGTGACAAGTTCTTCAACTGCGGTCACGTGGATTGTACATACAACACGAGTGCATCCGGTAAGGTACCGTGAGGCTATGGAGTACGACAACCCGCAAATGTCGAGAGTAGAGTCGTCGGACACGCCGGAGTGAAAGGTACGAGCGCATCCGTCATGCGGACGTTTGTGACATCGGCCGAGTGCAATGTCTTAAAGTCATTTAGTTTTTCTATCCTCGTTCTCCCGATTCTCCCGCATGATAAAATAGCGCGTCGTTCGCAGAAACATCTCAGTGCTACGCTTTTCATTTATAATCACTTACCTTTCTTGAACTATGTACTTATATCTCACGACTACCTTGGTCCGTGCGCACATATTGACTTATTTAAGCACGTGTATTAGCCTTGTAGAACTTCACTTGAATCTTACTAGGTTTTACCAGAACTTCCTTCGCTTAAGACCTCCAATCTTAAGTTGTCTGAACTAGCATTCTTTTTGTTCGAGGATGCGACGGACGAAAGAAAGACAGAAAGAATTCTATAAACGAAAGTAGTAAGTACTCAGTCTCAATAGTCGAAGACTTGGAGACTACTAGCTGACCTATAAACGAAAGTAGTAAGTACTAGAGTAGTAGTCAGTATCATAGTAAAGAGTCTAAATAAATAATATCATACCTCAGTCTCAATAGTCAAAGACTGAGGTGCTAAGTAATATAAAACTTCTAATGAGCGCATAGCGTATTATGTAAGCGAGTGTTGTTTGTTGTTGTCCGAATCAAAGTTATCACTTATCTATAATCTTTCAACACGCCCACTCAACGAATCAAACTCTCGCCGTTCAACACTCCCATTCCTTCGATGAATCGTCCATGCTTCTCGCGCGCAAGTGCCTTCGTCAAAACATCGGCAATCTGTTCGTTCGTGGGAACATACTCAACGCATATCTCTCCTTCCTCCAACTTTTCTCGGATAAAGTGATACCGGATCGCGATATGTTTGGTACGTTCGTGAAACATGGCATTTTCGGCTAACAGAATTGCAGATTGATTGTCGATTTGGAGAGTTATTGGGGGAGTTTCTGAGGAGTTTAGTTCTCTGAGTAGGGTCCTCAACCAAACGGCCTCCTTCGTAGCAGCGGCGGCGGCCATATATTCTGCTTCGGTACTGGAAAGTGCGACTGAACTTTGCTTCTTCGAACTCCAACTAACTGCTCCTCCAGATATTGAAAATATATATCCGGTTATCGAACGCCGGTCATTGACATCTGAGGCCCAGTCTGCGTCGACGAACGCATGTAAGTCCGTTTCTGACTTCCCTTGATATGTCAAACATTTATTGACGGTCCCGCGTAGATACCGATAGACACGCTTTAGAGCGGTCCAGTGCGCTTGTCCGGGGGTAGCTGCAAATCTGCTCAGAGCACCTACTGTGAACGCGATGTCCGGACGCGTCGCAAGCATCGCATACATCAGTGCACCTAGGGCACTTTGGTAAGTCTTCACATCGACTTCGGCTTCATTCACTTTGATGAGCTTGGTATTAGGGTCCATTGGCGTATTCACAGGACGACTGGATCCCATATCAAAACGCTCGAGTATCGATTCGATGTAGCGGCTTTGTGACAGCTTGATCGTGCGTTTATCGCGGTTGCGAATGATTTCCATTCCCAAAATCCAGCGCGCTTCTCCCAAATCGGTAAGCTCGTACTCTGCTGCTAATCGTTTCTTCAGCTCATCTATCATCTTCTTATCCTTTGACAGTATCATTTTGTCGTCAACATAGACGGCGACTATAATGATTGTGCCGTTCTCGACCTTGTAGAAGACAGAATGGTCTGCATTGCTGCGTGTGAAGCCGAGAGACTCGAAGACGGTACGTAGTCTTTTGTACCATGCTTTGTGTGCCTGCTTAAGACCGTATAGAGCACATTTGAGCTTCCAAACTTGATTCGACGAGTCACGAAAGCCAGGAGGGAGCTGCAGGTAAATTTCCTCATCCAATTCACCGTTTAGAAAAGCTGACTTGACGTCCATCTGATGTATATCTAGATCGTACTTGGCTGCAAGGGCAAGAAGGACTCGAATCGTCGAGAACTTCGTGACGGGGGCAAAGGTGTCTGTGTAGTCGATCCCTTGGACCTGCGTGAAACCTTTCGCGACGAGTCTGGCCTTATAGCGTTCAATTTCGCCATGCGGGCCGCGCTTAATTTTATAGACCCATTTCGAGTCTACAACCTTGCGGTCACGAGGGCGTTTGACTTCCTCGTATAGGCCAATCTTCTCGAAGATCTTCAATTCTTCGGTCATCGCCGTGTACCATAGATCTGCGTCTGGACGATTCATTGCTTCATGGAATGTCCCAGGCTCACCATTACAAGCTACTGTAGCCTTGTAAGCCTCCCCATGTGTCTCCGCAGCCTCAATCGCGCCCACTGCCTCAGGTATGTCTTGTATAACCGGTTCCTCTCTTTGAAGTGTTGACTTCTC